CTGACAGACAACTTGTTGTTTTTGACAGTATCTCATTCATCAGTTCTACAATGCCAGACAAACATAACACGCCAGCAAAAACTCCGAAGCTAGGTCCAAAAAAATCATGGCCGATTTCGTGCAGAAAACTGAAAACTTGTTGTTTTTGACAGTATCTCATTCATCAGCTCTACAATGTCAGACAAACATAACACGCCAGCAAAAATTCCGCAAGAAGCTAGGTCAACCAGTCTGTAGAATAAATGCCACGATGGAACGGGTGCATGGGGACACTCATAATTGCCTGTGGTCCAAAGATGTATCGATCGAGGAAAATCGGTTTACGTGGCCATTCTACGTTGCCCCGACAATCGAAAACCTTGTCAAGGTTTCGTCAAGCACCCAGTGGGGACACATTGTTGGTTGAGAGGTCTGGTATGTCTGGTACACTGCCACCGGTCATGCAGCCTGTCAGTCTAACATTTCGGAGTTGAACAATATGACTCAGATTTGCCAAATTATTGTCAACGCCATAGCGCTGTTCCGTCATCCTCGACTTTCGTGACCTATGGGTTTACAGAATAGTCTTCATCACCGCACTCCCGAAGCTAGTATCCAAAGACATTCAGAAGATTGTTCGAGGTCTTCAACTTCATCGAGTTCTGCTATGGTCTTGATTAACGTTCCTAATTCATCGAATTCGCGCGAATCAAGAAAAGACAGCTGATTTACCAAGACAGCACAAGCTATAAGTGAACGGATATAGACATGGCCGCAAAAGACAAACGCCCGTTCTGTTGTTTACATGAATGGCCAGTGTTTGACATATTGTTTTCGAACCAACACAGGTATGGGTGACATTCATTCACCAACAAGAGCATGGCATTTGCTTCGACATCTAACAATATCCAAATTTAAACAGACCATAGTGAACCAAACAGACTGGACGTGTGCGATCAATCACCCACCAATGATATGCCGAAAGGGGAAGGTAAGATATTATCCTTCTTGCTACTCACCTGTGCAACGCCTTGAAAATATCGGTCCCATTAGTTCAATATGGGATAGATAAAAAAAGAAACAAACGCGGAAACAAGTAAATTACGCCAGACAAATTATCTTGTGCATCGCTGTACTATTCAACTAAGCATCATGAAGCACATTTGTTCGGCTAACATCTGGCTGGAAATCGTTTCGTTTACTTTCTAAAGGCACAAAAACAACCGCTGCTCACCGATTATTCTGAGAAAGTATCGTCTATAAAAGCGTAATAATGCGCTCGAGATAGCTCAGCGGTTGGGGCGCGTAACTGACCAAAAGTTCCATGGTTCGAGCCTAGCCCCAGCATCCCCACTGCTCCTACCTACGCTTGAGCAACCTGGCAGCATCACAGTCCTGGCACAGTAGCTAGGCGCCGAATGAATGTTACAGCCGAACGACAATATTTATCAGTTATTTACTCGGATGATGAAAAAGCTACTTAATGTGACCTGGAACCTCGTCACAGCTACACATCCTCGAAACATCAGCCTCGAATGTCGTCTGCTTTCGGAAATAAAAAAGACGTCATGGCGGAAGTGAACTATATTCAACTCAGCTTTTCCTGTCTGATTGAATCAAGTAACGTTCGTCGACCCATGCTGACTACTAGAACTCTTAACAAGATAAAAACCACCCTGAATTTCGTTAACTTATAAGACAGCTTTTGCTGAGAATGATTTGCAACATTCTCCCCTTGAAGCAACACCCCGCATTTATGGACATTTTGGAGGTCCTTGTTCTTCATCGTACATGTATACATGCCTCACCTCAGAGGCCAAACTTGTGATCACAAGTAATTGGGTTTAAAACCCCTCAGTGATTGACATTCGAGAGGTTGACTGTTCATGACCGCTGCACAATCATTTAGCTAAATAGAGAACGACCATCAAATTCACATTGATAACAAGCCCGGGTAAAAGCGATCTACAGGCGGCGGATTGATGAAAAACAATGGTTTCAGAAATGCGGAAGCTATAGAGCAGTTGTACGTAACCTGTCTTTGCCCGCATCTGCCTACGACACGCCCACAGCATTCGTAAGTCCCAATTCAATCTCACTGAGAAAAAAATATTCAACATAGATAAATCACATATTCACCCGTTCAACTCTACATTGCATGATATAAGTTCTGCAGTACGTTTCACATGCTTCTGAATTATTGAAAATTCTTCTTATATACTTTAACAATAAGTCTCATAAGCGTTTCAGTTGCTTGCCGGCATACTTGTACTTTCAACCATATGCGCTCGTGTGGAAAGCGCGACGCACATACAGTTCCGGTACCAAGATACCGTATGATTTTAGCTCTTGTGGGAAGTGAATCCGACCTCCGCCACTCGACTTCCCCTGTCTAGGCTTGGGCAACCTGGCAGTATCCCAACCCTCGTGCTTCCTTTGGGTGGCATGGTAGCTAGGCACCGAAAGGCTGTTACAGATGAACGATTGTCTTCTTTGTCCCAAATGATTACCATGCCCCACCGAGGACTGTCCCGAACAACCGCGACTTTTGAAATACCAGTGGGCGAAACAGCACGTCAATGACTGGTACAGAAGTTGCGGGACAACACAGGAAGTGCGCTTTAGGCAGATGTGCTGTACTAACATGCCTGGGACAGTTGATCAAAAGAATCAGTAAACAACTTGAGATGAGCTCTTTGTTCTAAAGAGCCAGCGTTAGAATGCGAACAGCAATGTTTAGGGAAAAATCATGACCTAAAATACAGTGAAGAGGTAATGGTTGAGGGAAATATTCCAGGAGTCCAGCCATCTAAAAGACAGCCGAGCTGTCTTAATAATAAACTTATCCAGTAACCCTGGAAGTTTAAAACGTTAAACTGCAAAATTATACCGCCACGTTTCGGAATACCTCCTCTCTTTTATTCTTGAAACATAGGGTAGAATCGTAGAAGGCGTGAGTTGACATGTCAATGAATACGACAATTAGCCAGGTTAAAACTAAGGCAATTACGTCTACCAGGATTACGGCTACCAATTAAATCAGAGGCAAAAACTGTGATCGACGATCCCTTAGGTGCCTTTCATAACATGCAGTTGCGGTCTGGTGGCCTTCGAGAGGGGCTAAATCGTTAGCTAGAATAAACCACTAAGCCGCTGACGAGTTGTCAGGCTTCTTGAGACAATAGTCGTCCATCTTCTAGTTGGTCTCTTCACGCATAGATCAATATCATTGTCTAACTGAAAGGGAGTACTTTTTGTGGATCACTTGAGTTGGTCTTCTATGGAGCGGAAAAAATGCGAGCAGAGCGAGAAATACACATGAATCCAAGTTTCCAGTTTCATAAAACTGGTCATCGGACAATTAGCTGTCCTGGGGTCAACAATGGCTGGCTACAAACCCTTGCATAAAACTGGTCATCGGACAATTAGCTGTCCTGGCTGGCTACAAGGTTCCCGTCACCATGTACATCCATCCGATAAACCAAGAAAGGCATGAAATACCCTGCGAGATCGAACCGCTTTTCTGGACTGTACCGCAGATGCAGCCGGATCCCGTTTGGAGTTAAATGGGAAATTTCCCTCACGCAAGAAGAGAAAAAATTAATTAGCCAACGATAGTTTACTGCTGATGAAATTCCAGATTCTGACTCTCACAGGCTTAAGGATATGAACTTATTCCTATACATAACCTTCTTGACGAGCGACGTCACTAGAAAGTAAAAATCCTATGTTCCGAATGTAGAAATCAGATGAAAGGGGACGACTTTACACAACTAAAACCCTTTAAAAAGATATCAAGCTCAAGTGTCACGTAAAAACGTGTACATCCTTCGAATTTATCTTCATATTACACAAGTGGTTATTACTACTACTATCGTACTACTATTATCATATCATTACTAGCATACTTGGCTAATTATTGTCCCATGTGTTCACGAGACTAACAAGCCAGTCTTGTGTTTACGAGAAAGGGAATTCTGGGAATTCCCTGAGGCTAGCAATGTTGTGGAGTATAGGTGGCTCGGGTGCGCTGTTTGGTTGTGTGTCTGTTCGCCGAGCTTGGCAGTTGGATTGCAAACGTTTCATCACCAATCGAAGTGACATCGTCAGTGCGGGGTTGAGTGGGTGGTGGGTTGAGTGGACCCACTCAACCCTGCACTGACGATGTCACCTCGATTGGTGATGAAACGTTTGCAATCCGACTACCAAGCTCGGCGAACAGACCAACAACCAAATTTCCTGAGTTAGATATGGTTTCCCGACTTATAATGCGAGGCTATCTACGACACTGCCGATAAACGAAGTGTGTGGTTCAAACCCAAATTGATTTGCAAATGAGTGTATTTCTCGAAAACAGTCCAATTTGGGTTCAAGTAGAACATGAGGTTGACGGAAACTCAGGGACTGCGCCTACCTGATGAGCCCCAAGCGCGAAACCGGTCATGGGCTGTCGACGAGTTTTCAGTAACCTTATGAGTAGTTTCCCTTATGAAGTGTGCGGTTATTTGAGAATGATTCCTCCGTAGACTATGAGGCAAACAGATATAGTGGTGGGCGGTTTGAGCTTAATCATGTGAATGTGACAAATGTGACCCAACTGCAAACAGATCCACTAACAACGAACATTGAAACCCACCGAGAAAATGGGATTTTGGCTGCTCAGAAGTAACGTTAATAGTCCTCACTGGCCGACAAAAGCAGTGGTGGATGAAGAATTACACTGAACCCCAGTTTAATTTGATTGGAAAACAAAATCTTCCATGCAGATAAACTGACAGGAATCATAATTAGGGCTAGGAACAGCGGCAGATGTTCCACTACTGTACGGTTTTAAGCCGTTTGGTGCTTGCCTTCAAATCAATGCTAACATAAAGTTCTCATTCTTTTAGATGGAAAAATGGATGTAAGTACCTGCTACTACGCATCAATTGAATGACACAGAAAATCATAATTATCACTTTTTCTACAAAATGGTGAATCGACAGCATATTTTTATCCATCCCAGATCCATGGGTGACCCAAATATTCTCGTCCTACATAGTTAGTCCAAGTTACACTGGTTAACCCGAGCGAAGGCACCTCCATAGTCTTCGGATTGCTGTCATTCATCAGTGATTCTAACTTGTATTTCGCTCATGCGAGATCATATGCCATTGTATCAACAACTCATTTTTGGGTTGTTAAACAACAGCTGCTGCTCATAACAGGAAACGATTGCTTCAAGTAGTGTACCGTAGTGCCAAAGCAGTTTGGGCATATACGTAGATAAGCGCTTCACCTTAAGGAGAAATCAGACAGATAGGAGCAGCTAGAGGAACTATCACACACAATGGGGTTTGCTTTCGTTAAATGTGCGAGACACAACAAGTCATTCACAATCACTCCGGCAAAACTTAGCAGTGTACTCATCGTGTTCTTGGGTTCAGTAACCTGTAGAATAGGGGATATATCTGATATTTATCATCGTGAGGTACCGAAATGCAGTTGTCGCTAGGAGAGGTTGAACTACGTTCAAAACGGGACCCAATGTAGAAACTGAACGTCTTGAGGTTCACAAGATGGCAGCAAATTTAATGCACACAAGCCCAAAATAACGCCCAGGTTGGTAAAACTCGGGTAGCGAAAAGCGGCAGAAGTAGATGTGTTTTTGTTTGTATCAAATGTTTGATGCTGCATTGTCGACGTGGATAACAACTTGCACGTACTCTGGAACTTATGATGACGGCCAGATGTAGCGTGACCGGCGAAAATGGGTGTTAGAATCAAGCGGACTAAACTGTCCCTTACCTATATCTACTGGGAAGAAATATCAGCCATAACCCCCTCACGACTGATAGATCAGGCACCACCCATCCTGGAATCCATACGAAGCACTCGACAACGCAGTTTCGAATGGAATAAAAGACGAAGGTTGTGTCCATCTGAGGCTGACCCTGTTCTCTGAATGCTCACTGACCAAACGGGTATCCCGGATGGCCGACATGAACCAAAGGGATGTGTAAATTGGACTAAACACCAGTTCTAGATGACTGTTGACCGAATGCACCAAGATAACCAAGAGGTTGCAGGAACCGCACGGTGGTTCAACCCAACCAGTGGCAACCATTGGCTTCTCCTGTATGACCGCATCTAAACCCGAGGATTGCGTGGCAGCGGCGTAGCAAAACGGTTCCATGGATTAACGAATGAACTAAGATGATACATTGAGCCTACGTCTTACTGGAAGAAAACCCCTGACACTCTCGGATCAAATTCCTCTCGCTACTTATATGAAAAGCAGATATTTTTCTACAGCACAAAAAATGGATGATTTGATGCAACGGTCCTTGGCTCAATCTACATGAACACAAATTGTCATATATATTACGAAAGAGTCAAAAGACAAACCAAACAGTTGATTCTACTCAGCACAAACCGTCTTGATAAGCAACCATGCGTGACACGCCGCTATT